TGATATCTTTTCCGTGAGGATAGTCAACAAGCTCCCAAGTATTATTCTTCTCAATCATTTTGATTTCTTCTTCCATGGCCTTGACCCATACTTCTTGCTTTGAAGCTTCTTCGTACCAGGAAGGCTCAATGATGACCATGTTACAAGTTTCATATATATCTACCAAAGATCTTACACGTCTTGGTGTAGACTCTGGTGAAGTATATTCTTCTTCTTCTTGTGAAAGCGTACCTGGATCTCCTGTTTCTTCTTCAGGTTGTTGTACTGGAACCAGGATATTGCTTCTAACAACTTTTTCTTCTTCCCAATTCCAAGAAGCATTTTCATCAACCTCAATATCTCGACTGATGACGAGTTTCTTTGTTTGTAGGTTGTAGACTCGATAACCTTTTGATTGTTGGTTGTATCCCAATAATATTCCTCTTATAGTTTTGTCTTCAAGCTTATGCCTCCTCTGATCAGGAACATGTATGTAGCAAATTGATCCAAATATTCGTAGGTGTTTAGCTGATGGCTTCCTTCCACTCCAAGATTCAATAGGAGTATTGTTTTGGACTGCCTTAGTTGGACATCTATTGAGTATATATACAGCAGTGTAGACTACTTCTGCCCAAAACGTATTTGGCAAGCCTTTCTCCTTTAGCATTGATCTTGCCATCTCCATGATAGTGCGATTTTTTCTCTCCGAGACACCATTCTGTTGTGGAGAATATGCAACTGTAAGTTGTCGCTCAATACCTTCATCCTCACAGAATTTATCAAATCCGTGGGAGGTGTACTATGTGCCTCGATCGCTCCTGAGCACCTTTATCTGTTTTCCGCTTTGCTTTTCGACAAGGGCCTTAAATTTCTTGAATATTCTAAAGACTTCTGATTTTGCTTTGATGAAGTAGACTCAAGTCATTCTAGAAAAATCATTAATGAAAAGAATGAAATGCCTGTTGTTATTAAGCGATGAAGTCCTCATCGGTCCGCAAATATCTGTGTGGATTAACTCCAACAAGTCTTTTGCTCTCCAAGTATTTCCCATAGAAAATGGTAATTTGTGTTGCTTTCCCATAAGACATCCTTCACAAGCTTCGCTACTCTCCTTAAGGTTTGGTAGATCTCTCATCATGCCTTTTTGATGTAGTATCTTTAAGGCATGAGTATTGAAGTGGTCAAATCTACGATGTCATAGCCACAAGTGATCAACTTCTACTTTCATGGCAATGTTAGTTCCTCGATTGAAGCTTATAGGAAAACTTCTATTTCTCTTTTCCATTTTTACTTGGCCAATATCTAGATTTTTCTTATCATAGATAGTGCATGTATCTCTTTCAAAGTGGAGAGTATATCCTTTCTCCATCATTTGACCAATACTTAAGAGATTTTCTTTAAGATTGGGAACTAGTAAGACATCATTGATAAGTCTCATACCTTTCTTGGTCTCCACCATAACACTGTCTTTTCCTTTTGACTCTACCACGGTGCCATTTCCCAATCGCACTTGAACTTTGATAGAGTTATCAATTTCTTTGAAGATGCTTGGATCATTCGTCATATGGTTACTACACCCGCTGTCCAAGTACCATCTTCCTTTTGATTCATTGTCAGAACATCCTGTAGCATAGAAGAGATGTTGTTCTCTGTACCGTTCTTCGGCAAAATTTGTTTGTTGATGATTTTTGTTGCGACACATTTTCTCTAGATGTCCAAATTTCTTACAGTATTGACATTGAGGTTTTCCTCGATGCTAACAATCTTTTTCCAAGTGACTTTTCTTTTTGCAAGTGCCACATGGAGGATATTTTCCTTGAATAGTCTTGGAAAAATTTATAGAGTTTTCCTTATTCCTAGAAAATTCTCTATTAATTTTATTTCCTCAATTCTGAGATTGTAATTTTAGTTTTTATTGAAAGGCATTTTCGACTGAGTCTTCTTCACGCCTTTTCAATCTTTTTTCATATGCTTTAAGAGAGCCTATTAGTTGTGTCACCAATAATGTAGATAAATCTTTTGTTTGTTCAATTGCAGTTGCAATTGCATCATATTTTTGGGAATAGAAATTAGAATTTTCTCAACAATTTTCTTGTCAAGAATATTTTCCCCATAGGCTCTCATCTGACTAACTATTTCTTTTATTCTAGAATAATAATCTTTTATGGTCTCAGATTCATTCATTCTTATTAACTCAAATTCTCTTCTTAGTGAATGGAGTTTAATATTGCGTACCTCATCGCTTCCTTGAAACTCCTCCTGAATTGTATTCCAAGCTTCCTTTGCACTTGTGACACCCATTATTCTTGGAAAAATAGTGTCATCAACTGCTTGCTGAAGAGTGGATAATGCCCTTGAATCCTTTTGTTTGTTTTCCTTCAACTCCTTCCTCTGGGCAGCTGTAAGAGTTGAGATGTCTTCTGAAATAGTGAACTCATCTTCTATGACGTCCCAAAGATCTTGAGAACAAAAAATGTCCTCATTTTGACTCTCCAAAAATCATAATTTTCTCCCTTAAAAATAGGAACTGGAATGGATGATGTTTGGTTGGTAGTGGTCATAGGTTGAAAATTTTCTTTTGGAAGTAATGTGTAGTGGGATTGAGTTTTTTAAGGTAGTAAAAAAAATTTCTCTACACCCAGTGGTACCAAAAAAAAAAACTGTTAGGATTTTAGGAAGGATAGGAAAGATAGTTTGATGTTTAGTAGTGAGATTTGTGTAGAAAATAGTTTTTAGAAAGAGGTGGACAAATAGGAGAAAGTTTGTATGAGGGAAGATAGTAATTGATCTTAAAAGTGTTACAAGATATGTAGGAGCTTGTATTAGATTTTCCACACATACAAAGACTCCGTTCATGCCTATTTATATGTTTTACTTACAAGATTCTAGAATTTTCTACTAATTTCATTGTTTCTACATTATTCTATTTCTACACTATTCTATTTCTTTTTCTTTTTCTAGAATCATGTTGTAGCTTCTACTAGTCCACATATGTTTTCTACATATTTCTAAGGATTCTAGATATTACTCATATGTAATTCCTAATTCTAGTAACATCTAAGATTTTATATTCTAGATCTTTCTAGAATTTGTATCATCTTTCAACAGTTTTTATATAGAAATTTAAGACAAAAGAAAAGTGGTTTAGACACAACTTTGATATTTTCTTACACTACAAAAAAAAACGCTTATTATCTACGGGTAAAATCCGTAGGTAATGACAAAAATCCGTAGGTAATGTCACTTTACCTACGGATTTCTTTCCGTAAAAAATTCGTAGGTAATTTGGTCGTAGGTAATTACCTATGGATTTATAATCCGTAGGTAATGCACTCGCTGGAATTACCTACGGATTATAATCCGTAGGTAATGCACTCACCTTAACAAAACAAAATATTTTTATTTATTACAACCCCTCCCCTTTATATTATATTTTTATTATTTATTATATTTTCGAAACTTTGAATTATTATTAAATTAAGGGAATTGTCATTGGCAGGATTCGAACCCAATACCTCGGAGTTGGAGGCTGATACTCCAACCACTAAGCTATTAGGATATTTTGAAAATAATTTACAAATAATTATATTTATATTTATCCGTCTAAATATATAAATATAAAATATATATAAATATAAAAATATATATAAATATAAAATATATAAATATAAAATATATAGAAATATTAAATATATAAATATAAAATATATATAAATATAAAATATATAAATATAAAATATATATAAATATAAAATATATATAAATATAAAATATATATAAATATAAAATATATTTATATTTTGATATATTTATATATTTATATATTTATACATTTATACATTTGTATTTATATATTTATATTTATATATTTATATATTTATATATTTATATTTATATATTTATGTATTTATATATTTATGTATTTATATATTTATATATTTATATATTTATATATTTATGTATTTATGTATTCATATATTTATGTATTTATGTATTTATGTATTTATATATTTATGTATTTATATATTTATGTATTTATATATTTATGTATTTATATATTTATGTATTTATATATTTATGTATTTATATATTTATGTATTTATATATTTATGTATTTATATATTTATATATTTATATATTTATATATTTAAATATTTAAATATTTATATATTTATATATTTATATGTTTATATATTTAAATATTTATATATTTAAATATTTATGTATTTATGTATTTATGTATTTATATATTTATATATAAATATATTTATATATTTGTGTATTTATATATTTGTGTATTTATATATTTGTATATTTATATATTTATATATTTATATATTTTATATTTATATATTTATATATTTATATATTCACGAATTAATATAAGTATAATTTAGTAGTAAATTATTATTAGAATATCCTAATAGTTTAGTGGTTGAAGTATCAGTTTTCAACTTTAAGGTACTGGATTCGATTTTTGCTAGTGACAATTCTTTTAGTTTAATATAATTTACCTACGGTAGTAATTCCGTAGGTAATATCCGTAGATAATGTACACTTTACCTACGGATAGTAATTACGTAGGTAATTACCTACGGAATTATCCACGGATTACATTACCTACAGATAATATCCGTAGGTAATGTACAATTTACCTACGGATTTTCATCCGTAGGTAATGTAAAATTTACCTACGGATTTTTATCCGTGGGTAATATCCGTAGGTAATGTAAAATTTACCTACGGATTTGTATCCGTAGGTAATATTCCATAGGTAATAGGGTTTTTTTTTGTAGTGTTACATGATCAATATGTTCTTATGGTGAGTAAGAGCATAAATAGCGGCAGGATGTACTTCAAAAAATCTTTCAACAATTTCTACAATTCCAGTTTTAGTTGCTATGAACAATGCAATGTCTGGAGTTTTTTTATAGTTAGGTCTCTCTTCCAATTTTTTTGTACTCATCCTTTTCCTTTTCGTCACATTTAAATGATATGGCATATTAATAATTTTTGTCCTATTAATTATACTCCTTGGGGGAATCTTGCCATGATAAGTCTTTCTCTACCCAAATATGGGCCAGATATTTAGCCAACTCATTTTCCTTCTTTTCCTTCCACATATGATCAATTTCTTCAAACACTGTAATGATGATCAAACAAAAATTTTGACATAAAGAACTAATTGGTGGAATATAGCTAGTATAACTCTTTGGTAAAGGATTCTGGAGATTAATACATTAGAAGAATATTCTCATTATGTTTATTATGACTTGTTTAAAGTAAAGTTTTTGGATTGATGGGAAAGTTGAGAATGTATACGTGATGTATAATGATTCATATAAGATACAATTAAATATAGACAAAGCTGGTATGAAAACTTCTCTACTTTGTACATTTCGCCAAGAATTTCCAAATCCAGTAGTTGATATCTGAAAGTGCTGAAATTTGGAAATTTCTTCTACTGTTACGTATAAGCACATGTCTCTGACAATATTTTGGAAAAAACAAATTAAATCTACATGAGTACCTGATTTCCTGAGTTTAGACTCATCCTTTTTACAGTTTTCTACGTCCTTCTTTTGTTTGAATAAGTGAAATTTTTCGTCATAATCAATATATCGTTTAGGAAGCACTGTCACCCAAATCATAACCAATCAATCAACAATAATTATATATATAAATGGTGAAAGGGTTATGATAAATGTTTCAAGGTTGAATCAAAAAGCAAAAATTTTTTATTGGATATGAATTAAATTTGAAATATATATGCTAATCCTAACCTTCTTTAACTTGTGAGAAACTAATAGCCAAGTATTCAATTAGAATATTGACTGAAAGTTATAAAGTGTGTAGCAATATATTATAAAGGATAGAAACATTGATAGGGAAGGTACAAAGATATATGATGCTCTTCACAGGTCCCATGCGACTATGGCTGTGAAAAACCCGTGGTATTTTGGAAAGCAGTTGAAGACATGTTAAGTTCTAGTTAATGACTGGATCTTGACCATTGATTTTGGAGAGGTCAAATAATATATTATTAATAAATAATAAATAAATATAAAAGGAAGAAAGAAGATGAAAGGGTGAAAGGATAAAATTATAGATATATACTTAAATATATTAAATGATCATTAAGTTTGAGGGGGACAAAATCATAAATTATATGAGAGTTACAAAACTAAAGAGGGGCTGAGAGGATAAAATTGTAAATATACAAAAGTAAATATATTAAATGTTAATTAAGTTTGGGGGGCTAAAATCATAAATTACACTGGAGTTATAAAACTTTAGGGGGGTCATCGCCCCCTCAACTCCCAAGAAGATCCGCCACTGGTTTTGGTTATCCTTTTCTAGAGCAAGCTCTTCATCCATTCTTACCAGCCAAATTGCAACATCTGCACCAAAAAATTACTCTATGTTACACAATTATCGACTTTGAAGCATGATCTGTGTTAAATATATAGGGGATGAAAAATAGAAGAAAGTGATAATGAAAAAGACATACGAAGATGTTGGCCAATGACACTGGCATGAAGAGCATTATAGTTGTCAGCTCGATGCCAAAGTTTTCGTAAATCCATATGCTGTTTGGTTGCACGTTCAACCATCTGTTGGAGAAGCTTGAGCTTTCCTTACATGGCAGCCATGAATAAAGGGGTTTCTCCTTGGTTATTTGTGAGCTCAAGCAATGGCCTTTTCTCCTCCATTTTTCGTGAGTGCAACGCATCTTCAAACGAGAACACAACACGAGCCATATCAAGTACCCTTTTGCGAAACACAATTTCGTGCAAGACAGTGTTTCCCCCACTACTCTTCTTGCACAAAGCTTGCCACCTTTCTGTTATTGTAAAACTTAAATTAGACGTTTAGTATTCCTAGTATAATATTAATGGTTTTAATTACGAGTGGTATAACCAATGGGTTGTAAACCTATTTAATAATTATTATGATTTACGTTTGGTATTTGAAGAGACAAATATTTTGGCCATAAATAATTGTAACAACTCATTTGAAATTGCATCAAGACAAAAATTGAGAGCGTTGTTTTGTTTTCCTGTTACCAACAAATTGACATCAGAGCTTGTGTGTGACGTAAGTGTGAGAGAACCTACCAAGCCTCAAGAGAGAACGTTGCGGTGTGAGAGGAGCAACTTAAAGCTTTGTGAGGTGTGTGAGTTGAGTGCAAACACTTTAGAGGAAATGACAGGTCTAACCAATGACATCCTATTACCCAAGTTGACGAAAGGAGTCAACTATGACAACTGAAAGGTACAAATGAAGGCTCTTCTGGCTCCCAAGATAACTGGGATGTGGTCAAGAATGGGTATGAGGAACCGGCGAACACAGATGGGTATTCAAATGCCCAGCTGAACGCATTGAATGTCGTTCGAGCTAAAGACAAGGCGGCTCTGTATCTACTATACCGAGTCGTCGACAAATCTGACTTTGAGAAGATAGCTAACGGAAAATCTTCTAAAGTAGCATGAGATACACTTGAAAAAGAAAACAAAGGAGATGAAAGGGTGAAACAAGTTCGACTTCAAACCCTTAGGGGCGAGCTTGAAAACATGAGGATGAAAGAGCCTGAAAGTGTATCTGAGTTCATTACTTGGGTGGAGACCGTGGTGAACAAGCTGAATTAGAATGGTGAGAGTATTTCATCAAACTGAGTTGTTGAAAAAATTTTGAGATCATTGACAGATGATTTCGAGAACATCGTGTGCGCAATAGAGGAGTCCAAGGATCTGTCAACGCTCACCCTTGAAGAGCTTGCTGGGTCCCTAGAAGCGCATGAGTAGAGAAGGAAAAACAAGAAGGGGGAGTCCCTTGAACAGACGCTCCAGAAAAAGGCGACTATAAAAGAGGAGAAGGTGCTCTATGCTCAGAGTACCAGAGGTCGAGGAAAAGACAGAGGTCGTGGTGGTAGAGGAAAAGGAGGACGAGGAAATGAGCAAGACGGTCAACAGAACTGGCGTGGCCAAGGACAGACTCGGGGTGGCCGAAAAAACACAAACAATATTGAATGCTATAATTGTAAGAAGAATGTGCATATTGTCAAAGATTGTTACTCGGTGAAATGCTATAATTGTGGAAAGAATGGGCATGTTGCCAAGGACTATTACTTCGTAAAATGCTATAATTGTGGAAAACTGGGTCATATTTCCAAAGATTGTAGGTCTGAGAAGAAAAAGGAGGAACCAACAAACTTTCTTGCTGAGGAAGAAGATGAAAGATTGCTGATGGTGACAAACACTTCAGAAACTGAGATCAAACTGAACTGTTCTAATAACTCGGTTTGGTACTTAGACACCGGCGCTAGTAACCACATGTGTGGTGACGAGCACTTATTCAGTATACTTTCAAAGGTGGAGTCTGGATTTGTTTCTTTCAGTGATGCTTCGAAATTAACTGTCAAAGGTCAATGAACGATCTGGTATCAACAGAGAAATTGGCAAATCGGAGAGATCAGATATGTATACTACGTACCTGATCTCAAAAGCAACATATTGAGCATGAGACAATTAATGGAGAAGGGGTACTCGGTTCTGATGAAGGACCGAGAACTACAACTGAAGGATAAATTAGGGAGACTTGTTGCTTTGGTGGGAATGAAGAAAAATCGCATGTACAAATTTGAGCTGAAAACAGTTCAAGATAAATGTATGCAATTTGATATGAAGGATGAGGCCATGAAGTGACATTTGCGGTTTGGTCATCTTCACTTTGGTGGGTTGACTGCGCTGGTGAAAAAGGAGATGGTGCTCGGATTGCCTAAAATGGAATTCGAAAAAAGGTTTTGTGAATAATGTGTGATTGGGAAGCAAGCGAGGACTTCTTTCCCAAGAAGTTCTGAGTGTCGGCAAAGCAGCAACTCGAAGTGATCCATACTGATTTGTGTGGGCCAATAACTCCAGAATCTTTCAGTGGTAAGAGATACTTCGTCTTTTTCATTGATGATTTTTCAAGAAAAACGTAGGTTTATTTTCTGAAGGAGAAGTCAGAAGTATTTGAAACTTTCAAGAAATTCAAAGTGATGGTGGAGAAAGAAACAAGCAAAGTCATCAAAGCAATCTGATCTGACAGAGGAGGCGAGTTCACTTCTACTGAGTTCAACAAATACTGTGAGGAACATGGGATCAAACGTTTCCTGAATGCCCCATATTCTCCGCAGCAAAACAGTGTAGCGGAACGAAAGAACCGAACCATTCTTGATATGGTTCGATCTATGTTGAAAGGGAAGAATATGCCAAAGAAGTTTTAGGCAGAGGCGGTGCAGTGCGCAGTCTATTTGCAAAATAGATGTCCACATGCAAAGCTAGGTGAGAAGACGCCTCAGGAGATATGGAGTGGTATGAAGCCGAGTGTCTCTCATCTGAAGGTGTTTGGTAGCGTGGCCTATGGGCAAGTACCAAGTCAGCACAGAACTAAATTAGAAGAACAAAGTAAGAAGTACATATTTATTGGGTATGATGGAAAATCTAAAGCGTATAAATTGTTTGATCCTATTAATAATAAAGTGGTGATAAGCCGAGATGTTCATGTGGAAGAAACAAAACATTGGTGCTGGAGTAACCCGGCAGAAGAAGAATCTAGTTCAGAAATTGTTGTGCCTTCAACAATAACAACCATTGAGTCCTCAGATAAAGAAATAGAGCCACAACAGCCCAAGATGAGAAGTCTGCAGGAAATATACGACACTACAAATGAAGTTCATGTTGTATGTCTTTTGGCTGACTCTGAAGACTTGAGTTTTGAGAAAGTTGTCCAAGATGAGAAGTGGAGAACAATCATGGATGAGGAGATTGGAGCGATTGAATGTAACAAAACTTGGGAACTGACTGACCTTCCTAAAGGAGCTCGACCCATTGGAGTAAAATGGGTGTACAAAAAGAAGATGAATGTTGAGGGAGAGGTTGAACGTTACAAGGCTCGACTTGTGGTGAAGGGTTATAGACAAGAGGAGGGAATTGGCTATGATGAAGTATTTGCTCCTGTCACGAGAATGGAGTCAATCCAACTTCTGATCTCATTAGCTGCTCAGAATCAATGGTCGATTCTACAGATGGATGTGAAGTCGGAATTTCTAAATGGAGTGCTGAAGGAAGAGGTGTATGTTGAGCAACCACTCGGGTACATGAAGAGAAGGGATGAGAAAAAGGTACTGAGATTAAGAAAAGCTCTCTATGGGCTGAAGTAGGCTCCTCGTGCTTGGAATGAGAGAATTGATGGGTATTTCAAGAAAAATGGGTATGAACAATGTCCATATGAGCATGCTTTGTACACAAAGAAATCAGAAAAATATATGATGATAGTCGCTCTTTATGTCGACGATCTCATATTCACTGGAAGCAACATGAAGCTAATTAAGGAGTTCAAGGAGGTAATGAAGAAAGAGTTCGAAATGACAGACTTAGGGCTGATGAAATATTTTCTTGGCCTAGAAGTGAAGCAGTCAAAGGAAGGAATTTTTATATCTCGAGAGAGGTACGCACTTGAAATTTTAAAGAAATTTAAAATGGAGGACTGTAATCCGGTTTCTACTCTAATAGAACCGGACACTAAACTCTCAAAGATTGATGGAGGAGAACGAGCTGATTTTGGGAGATATCGAAGCTTAATCGGAAGTCTGAGATTCCTTACAAGCACAAGACCCGACCTAATGCTGAGTGTTGGGATAACGAGCAAATACATGGAGAATCCAAGTTACACACATTGGAAGACCTTAAAGAGAATTATGAGATATGTTCGTGGAACCTTATCACTTGGTCTATTCTATTCAAAATCGGATGACTACCAACTAGTGGGTTACTCGGATAGAGATTGGTGTGGTGATGTTGATGACCGAAAAAGTACTTCAAGTTATGTGTTCCTACTCAGAAAAACAACTTTTACTTGGCTGTCAAAGAAGCAACCCATTGTAACTCTGTCAACCTATGAGGTTGAGTATGTGGCGGCCTCTTGGAGTGTGTGTGTCATGCAGTTTGGCTTTCAAATTTACTAAGGCATCTGAGAGTTATCCAAGACGAAAGGACTGTAATTCGAGTTGACAACAAGTCGACGATCAAGTTGGGAAAGAACCCGGTTAATCATGGAAGGAGCAAGCACATCGACGTTCGATTTCATTTCATCTGAGAACAAGCTAGAGAAGGAAAGGTTGAGTTAGAGCATGTTGAAAACCGAGCTCAAGCTGCTGACATATTCACTAAACCACTGCCAATTATACTGCTGGAGAGTTATAAAAGGCTTATTGGAATAAGAGATGAGAAAAATATTTAAGTTTAAGAGAGAGATTTATTGTAAAACTTAAATTAGACGTTTAGTATTCCTAGAATAATATTAATGGTTTTAATTACGAGTGGTATAACCAATGAGTTGTAAACCTATTTAATATATATTATGATTTATGATTGACATTTGAAGAGACAAATATTTTGACCATAAATAATTGTAACAACTCATTTGAAATTGCATCAGGACAAAAATTGATAGCGTTGTTTTGTTTTCCTGTTACCAAGATCTGCTACGGGCACCATTTGTATCAACTCTTCAAGGAGTCGAGGGTTAATGGAGCCAGTTGCAACATGGATGGCAGTGTTTTCGAACATGTCAAAGTGCACGAGGATGATTTCCTGGTGTTTCTTCATAATTTCCATGAAATCTTTACATCGATTTTTCAGGGCTTTGCTTTGAGCTATTTTTACATTCTCACAAAACAGTGGAAAATTTTCAATTCTCTCCCGATCTACACCCTCCGTGGTCTCCATTTCACTCATTTTTTAGCTTAGTTCACTCGCTCTCTATACGTATATATATATATATATATATATATATATATATATATATATATATATATATATATATATATATATATATATATATATATATATATATATACTTTGCTTAAAAAAGTGAGAGAGAGAAAGTATGGTAGCATGATATGATATTAATAGGAATGATTATCTAAAAGTTGATGTTAACACAAACAATTCTCTAATCAATGTATTTTTAAAATATAAATATGATACAATTAGCGTGTCTTACATTTAAAATTAAATATTTTGATAAAATAAGTTAGTTTTCACCTTTTTTTTAAAACAAAAATAATAATTTTACTCGTAACTAAACTAACTTGAAAAGAAAAAAGCCAAAATCTGGCTTCGAAATTCTTCAACGTGATTTCATACCCTAGAAACGTGTAAGGTGCATTATCAGGGTTGTGAAGATTTTTGTCCATCTTTCACTTTTGTTTCCTTTCTTCTTCTTTTTTCTCCCCATTTTTTTCTAGGGTTTAGGGTATTACTTTTTTTATTTTACTGTTTATTACTTCTTCTTTTTAAGATGAACTCATTTATCATCATGAGAGTTTTTTTTTCTTTTTTAAACTAGCAAGTAAATATTTTTTTAATTTAGAGAAATTTTTTTAGTACTTTGATCATAATCACTTAGTTCTTATTACAAATACTGATCACTCAATCATTAATATGATATCAACTTCTATTAGTGATCTTATAAATGGAATCTAGAGGGGGTGAATAGATGCACAAATTAAATATAGATATCAAATTAAAAATTTATTTGTGAGTCAAAAATTTTTTGAACACAGATAAAGCGGAAACGATAATATAATTAGGAAAAGAGAAAGAGATAAGAGAAAGAGAAGAGCACACAAATATTTATACTGGTTCGGGTATAGTCAACCCTACATCTAGTTCCCAGTCAACTCTTAACACAAGAGTGACTCCCAATTCACTATGTTTCAAATTCAGTTTACAAATTACAATCAACTCAGCAGAAGAACCAGTAAAAAGTAAACTAATTAAAAAGACAATCACCTTTTTCGAAACCCACTAAGGATGAACACCTCCCTAGAATCCCACTAGGGATGAACACCTCCTCTGAACAAATCAAAGGATGAAAAACACCTCCTTAGAATCCCACTAAGGATGAACACCTCCCTAGAACCACACTAAGGATGAAAACCTTCTTTGAACAAATCAAAGGATGAAAACACCTCCTTAGAATCTCACTAAGGATGAACACCTCCCTAGAATCACACTAGGGATGAAAACCTCCTTTGAACAAATCAAAGTATGAAAACACCTCCTTAAAATCTCACTAAGGATGAACACCTCCCTAGAATCACACTAGGGATGAAAAACACCTCATTTGCCACCAATACACAAAGGATGAAGGTAATAAAAATAAGAACAGTCACACCTGGATAATGGAGACAACAAATTGTAGAAGCCTGTAGAATGTCAATCTCCAAGAACAAGTGTGATTAACAATGAAAGCACAGAAGACATTAGATAAGAAGGTTTTCTCAGAAGGTGTAAAATATCTCTGTTGCCTTGCTCAGAATTCTTTTCTCAAAACTGATTGAATGTAAATTGTATTTTCGAATTCTGTAATTGTGTATTTTTTTTATTTTTCATCAAAACTTAATTAAATAGAAAAATAGCATCAGAAAATGGTCGTTGGACATTAATATTTTTGTGAATAAAAATCAGGATATATTCAAAAATATTGTTAAGTGGTAAAAAGTTGATATAATTATGCCTTGAACTGTTATGAAACCACTTAACTTATGTTAATTCTAATCTATTTTTCTCCCAATATAAGATGAATTCGAGAATACCTTGATACAAGAGTAAGGAGTATAATTGTGAAGTAATTGAAAGAAAGAAGAACGTTTAAGCGAATGAATGATGCAAGGCCCGACCCAAATTCTCTTATAAAAAGATAATATGTGTTTTGAGAAAGGGAGCAGTTTTGGAGAAGAAGAGACGCGACTACTGCTAGGGTTTCGTCCAATCTTCATCAATTATTCACTTCTTCCTCATTTGGAGCATTGTAATGGCCAACATGAGTGACTAACTTCATTCTCTTGGGATTTGGTGTACTTTCTTTGAACTCTTTTGTATCATGGTGATATTTTTAGATATTAATCTATGTTTTGATGTTGTTATTCTTATCCTTTATGCTTTGGAATGATTTGTTCTTGATGTTTGGGGTATGATTGGAAAATATATCTTGAACCCTAGATCACAGTAAGAATATTTGTTACGTTAATTTCCAGGAATGGAATGAATGTATCAATTGTTTAACACTCTAACCCTAATACTGGAAAATCTCTTAATTGTGTGAGGAATCAACATTTATTAGGTTTTCTTATGAATTTCATGTGTGAGGAATCAACATGGATGATTTGAGTAGGTGGCATCAACATTGTTAGGTTAATTGACATTCTTAATTGACATAGCCATTACAAAAGAGGGATAAGGAAGGAAGTCAATCCTAAGTGCCTTTAATTGATATTTTTTCAACAATTTACAGTTCTTTGTCATTAAATTTCAATTCAACTCTTTATGCAAAACTCATTCTGTTTTAATCTACTTAGTAAGCATATAATTGGGAATTTCCATTGAAACCGTTCCTCGTGGGATCGACTTTTATTTAATCGAAATACTATACTGCGATTGATAATTTTGGTACGCTTGTCAATAATTCAACAAGTATTTCTGGCACCGTTGCGGGGGAACAGTGTTTTTTTGAGAATTCTTTGTTTAGCTTATTAAGTATTTTATTTTTATTTCTGTTTTTTTTTTCAGTTTTAGTCACTTAATTATTGTCTTGTGCTAATCTCTGCTTGAGTTACTCTTTTGATTTATGCGTTTAAGAGGACAAGTATCTTTAGAGCAGTTGGAATTTAATCCAGAAATTGAAAAAACAGCTCGGAGGAACCGGGATAAAAGAAGAAGGGAAACTCAAGAACAAGGCACAAGAGAATTTGTTAATACTTCCTCCACACTTGATTTACCAGACTCAATTATAGAAGATATGGCGGAAGAAGGAGCAAATATGAATCTGAATCCGGATCCAAATATAAATCCAAATCAAAACTCAAATTCAAATCCACCTAGAAGAACTCTTAAAAATTGTGCTATGCAGCAAGGTCCAAAACATTTTTCCAGCATTGCCATACCGGACGATCAAACATTGCAGATGAATCTAGTTTTCTTAAGCCTTATTAGTGCTCATCAATTCACTGGATTGGATCATGAAGACCCTTATATTCATTTGTCTACTTTTTATGAGTTGATTGATACCATGGGATTTAGAGCAGCAAATCTTGAATCTATATATTTGAGATTATTTCCTTTTTCTTTGGCAAGTAGGGCAAAGGAGTGGCTGAAAGCACATCCTAATCAGAGTTTGACTAATTGGAGCAGTGTAGAAGAGAAGTTTCTTAACAGATTTTTCCCACCATCCCGCTACATCAAAGCAAAATCTGACATCGCTTCTTTCAGACAAGGAGCAGATGAACAATTTTGTGAAGCATGTGAGAAATTTAAATCACTGTTGAGAAGATACTCAAATCATGGATTTGATGATATTGTTCAGTTAAATATTTTTTATACTGGCTTACGACATGATGCAAAGATGCTATTAGAGACTGCAACAGGAGGATCCATGTTGGATGTGGAAATTGAACATGCCACAAGAATTATTAATGCACTAGCTTTTATAGGCCAACAGGCCCAACATGATAGACATCATATTCAAAGGAAGGGAGTTCTTGAACTTAACACCTCAGATGCTATCTTAGCCCAGAATAAAATTTTGACGCAACAAATTGAAGCACTGAACCAGAAAATAGAGAAATTACCTTAACAAATGCACATAGTACAATATATTCCTAATCAACAGATGAGTTGTGACGTGTGTGGAGGTGATCACGCAAATGAACAATGCTCTTATCAAGGCAACATTCAACAAGAAGAATCCAATTATATGGGGGCCCAAGGTAGTAGTCAAGACAGACAAGGTAATTTCCCTAATCCCAACAATTATCAAAATAATGTTGCACAAGGATGGAAAGGGAATCAGAATCAGAATCAGAATTTTGGGTGGAAACAAGGTGTTAGCTCATCTACTAGACAACCTACATTTCAACAACAGTCATATCAACAACCTCCATATCAACAGTAGCAACAGCATTATCCTTCAGTGTCTGACAGAATAAGTAAATTGGAGGATACTTTAGAAAAATTCATGCAAAGCACTATGGCTAATCAGAAAAATACTGAGGCTTCATTCAGAAATATAGAGACCCAGATAGGCCAACTGGCTAAACAATTATCTGAGCAGCAACAAGGAGGACATTTTTCAGCTAACACACAAACCAACCCTAGGAAACAATGCAATTCAATAACTACAAGAAGTGAAAAATTTGTAGGTAAGGGGATTGGTGACAATATAGTTGTTGAAGAAGAAGTTCTGGTAAAAGAAGATGAAGAGAAAGAAGAGGAGAGTAAGAAAGAAAAATATATTCCTAATAAGAAGAACGAAGAGGGAAAGAAAAAACAAAAGATAGAAAAAGGAGAGAGTCAAAAACCATTTGTAGAGAAATTACCGTATCCCAAGGCTCCTTCATAGATAGATAAAGAAAGATAGTTTGCAAGATTCATGGATATTTTCAAGCAATTACAGATTAATATACCATTTGTGGAAGCTATGGAGCAAATTCCAACATACGCCAAATTCATGAAAGAGCTCTTAACTAAGAAAAGAAGATTTACTGATGAAATAGTAGAGTTAGAGGCAGGATGCAGTGCTATATTCCAAAAATCATTGCCTCAAAAGTCCAAGGACCCTAGAAGTTTCACTATACCAGTCAAAATTGGTGAATTACCGGTGAAAAAATCATTACTTGATTTAGGGGCCAGTATAAATCTCATGTCATTATCTATGCTCAAAATAATAGGAGACT